TAGCCCGGCTTCTTTTAAAGTTAGCCCGTTTCGTAAAAAAGTATAGGCAAATGCTAAACTGACATAATTTTATTAAAAGGCAAGAAAAAATATAAGCAATAGTTGGGCTTGAACTTACAAAACCATGCACACTTATTTCAAACGTTCTATAATTCGTGCTTTAGAGGTTATTAGATATACTTCAAGTAAAGATTGCAATCGTTTAACTTGAGAAATTACATCATGCTCTCCTGAAGATGCTATTGAAATTAGCCCGGCTTCCATTGAAATTAGCCCGTTCTCTATTGAAATTAGCCCGGCTCCCATTGAAATTAGCCCGGCGTCTATTGAAATTAGCCCGGCTTCTTTTAAAGTTAGCCCGTTTCGTAAAAAAGTATCCAGGCAAATGCTAAACTGACATAATATTATTAGAAGGCAAGCAAAAATATAAGCAATAGTTGGGCTTGAACTTAGAAAACCATGCACACTTATTTCAAACGTTCTATAATTCGTGCTTTAGAGGTTATTAGATGATACTTCAAGTAAAAATCGCAATCGTTAAACTTGACAAATTACATCATGCTCTCCTGAAGATTCTATTGAAATTAGCCCGGCTTCCATTGAAATTAGCCCGTTCTCTGTTGAAATTAGCCCGGCTTCCATTGAAATTAGCCGGTCCTCTATTGAAATTGGCCCGGCTTCCATTGGAATTAGCCTGGCCTCTATTGAAATTAGGGCGGCTTCTTTTAAAGTTAGCCCGTTTCGTAAAAAAGTATACAGGCAAATGGTAAACTGACATAATTTTATTAAAAGGCAAGCAAAAATATAAGCAATAGTTGGGCTTGAACTTACAAAACCATGCACACTTATTTCAAACGTTCTATAATTCGTGCTTTAGAGGTTATTAGATGATACTTCAAGTAAAAATTGCAATCGTTTAACTTGAAAAATTACATCATCCTCTCCTGAAGATGGTATTGAAATTAGCCCGGCTTTCATTGAAATTAGCCCGTCCTCTATTGAAATTAGCCCGGCTTCTATTGAAACTAGCCCGGCGTCTATTGAAATTAGCCTAGCGTCTGCATGAAGCTTACTTGCTTGAATAAAAAGTATGGAAGCTAGGTTTTTGTTAAGACGAACATAATTGACTTAAAATAAAATATTAGCTGTTATCTTTAGTATTATGTTAACGTATTTCACTGCATGCTATATGCATGACACTCCAGAGAATTGATCGTGCATTTGCATTATGTTAATTACAGCAAGTTATCGCTGTATATAAGGAGTCACAAAATCTGCATGCTAACTGTTTGCTTCCCGACGATTGGCATGCCTCGTCAACGTATTCACGTCGACTGGAAAACTGTTGAAGGGGCATTTAGTAAACCTCGAAGACTTCACTTAGAAAATGATAAAGAAGGTCTTTTCCATTGCCCTGCACTTGGCTGCGAACATGATGGTTTCGCGAGTCAACGAGGCTGTCGAAAGCACGTCAAAACAAAACATCCGTGGTATATATATTTTGACACGAAACCCATAATTTCTACCGAGAGCGAACGAAAACTTGATGTGAATCAGTCCTGTTCGTCGGAAAGCAAACCAACGCTGCCGTGTTGTGCTACAAATTCACAATTGGCACGATTATTTTTTTCATGGCTACAAAGCACGACCGGTGGCGGAAGGCAAGGGAAACATGCTGAAATCTCGGTAACTCGAGCATTTAAATTCTTGAAGTATTGTTGTGAACAATCGGGCGAGGATGAACAAAACCTGTCGTCGAATGTCCAACTTGTTGATTACTTTTTGTGTTCTTCCAAATTTCTAACAGATTTTCTTGATCACCTCGAAAGCACCTGGCAAATGGGTCAATCTGGTCGACTCGGCTACGTAAACAGTATCGCTGACCTCTTAGATTTCCGTCGATTCCATGCACCTTCAGGGCCCGTACTTCAAAATTTTTCCATTACCGAAGTATACATAAAACGTGCAAGGCAATGCTTCGCAAAGCAGATGCGTTCTCACTGGACTACAGACTTAGATATTGCAAGCCTCGAATCGAAAAGAAGTTGGACTACGCTTGCTGAACTTCAGACAGTAATTCCCTTTCATTTACAACGCTACAAAACAATTCTAGAAGAGTGCAGGAAAAAATCTTTTATCACTTCAACTGACTTGACTTTTGCTACAAGATTTGTTGCCGTCTTTATGTTTGTCAGAGTGAAAGGATGCCGACCGATGACCTACCACCATTTGACAGTCCCTATGTTTGAAAGCGCAAAAACAAACGCTGGAATGGTCGATCAAACCATTTTTAAAACGGCACAAAGATATGGGTTCAATTCTCTTTACTTCGACGAGATGAGCTTGGTAATTGTCAATGATTACGTTCAATACGTGCGACCCCTGCTGAAACCACAATGTGAATATTTGCTAGTAAATCGAAGCGGTAGTCAATTTCAGAAGCTCACTGAGTTACTTAGCGTTCTCGTGTTTGAAGCGATAGGCAAGTACATTCACCCGACGAGGTACAGGCAGATTATCGAAACGGAGAGCGTAAACAATTTAGATTTGGAAGAACAACAATTGGTATCCGAGGACCAAAAACATAGCTCAAACGTGGCGAGAGTTCACTATCAGAAGCTGCGGTCTCGGGAAGTAGCGTTAAAGGGACGATCATGCATGGAAAAACTGCGCGCGGACCATGGCAGAGCAATGGACATTTGCGTACAGCAATTGAGACAGCAAGATTCCAACGCGGGAATTGAAGTGAAAGACATGGAAACCGAAGGCGATGGTGAGACGGCGTCATCTCATACAAGCGAAGGGGAGATTGAAAACAACGATGAAACGCTACGAAAAAGCAGGGTTAAAGTCAGGTTTACACAAGAGGAGGACAATTATCTTAGAAAAGGGATAGTAAAGTTTGGTATGCGCTGGACTGCAATTTTAAACTGCCCGCTGTACAAGTTTGAACAATCCAGAGCACCGACAACATTACGAATGCGTGCGACAACACTTAAATTAATATAGACTCGAACTGTAGTTGTTAAAATTATATAAACTTATTATTGTTAACAAAACTGTGTATGAAAAAAAATTCAACAGCTTGAGTGTATTTGAATGTGTTCTTCTATTAAAAACATTGTGCGCACTTATATGACACTAGCGACATATTGTGTGGAAAATATAAGTTGTGTGACAACATAAATCAGGGGGAAACTTTCATGAAAATACTTCTAGGCAAGCTTTCTGCAAATTAAAGAAACACTGTCTTTATACTGATCAAAAACTTCTATTTGTAATACCAAAGAGCAGATGCATGCATATACCCACTAAATATTTTGCAATATACATATTTGTACAAGCATCTATATTTATGTAATAAGAGTATAGTATAATATGTCAGGATATTATCTTGTGCATTTATGAAAACCCTATAGCCGCGTTTAGCTCTGAATGTTAGACAAATTGATATAGCGCGAATAAATATTATTTAAATTATCAACTAATTAAACTATACGAAGTTGTGTGCTCTCGATCGGAACGATTGTTGCTGATGTCGCAACATATAATTGTGAAAGGGGGATTTCCCTTTTTTCATTACAACGATTCGGTCTCCGAGGCGATCCGATATTTACGGAACACACCGATCTTATTCCAAAGCAGATCCTAAAAATTAAGGGAACCGATGATCCTCATACAATTGTGTGATGACATAAAACAGATCGAACGACATTGTTGAACAATATCAAGCGGACTATTCGTTCGTTTATATAAAGTAAATTAACTCGTCGTTCTCATTCAACCGTTCCTTCAATATAAAGGAACAAGTGACTGAAGTTCCTATAATTAAAGTGAACAGTTTGTTCTCATTCAACCGTTCCTTAATATAAAGGAACAACTGACTGAAGTTCCTATACGTAAAGTGAACAGATTGTTCTCATTCAACCGTTCCTTAATATAAAGGAACAAGTGACTGAAGTTCCTATAATTAAAGTGAACAGTTTGTTCTCATTCAGCCGTTCCTTAATATAAAGGAACAACTGACTGAAGTTCCTATACGTAAAGTGAAAAGATTGTTCTCATTCAACCGTTCCTTAATATAAAGGAACAACTGACTGAAGTTCCTTTATATAAAGTGAACAGATTGTTCTCATTCAAATGTTCCTTAATTGTAGGAACAAAATGACCGAAGTTCCTTAACACAAGCGGTACATAACGTTCTTATATTACAAGTTCCTAACATCAAAACAAACAGTTCCTTATATTAAAACATAAACACAAAAGTACTTTGTTTTCAAAATACCGTTGCCCTTGTGGCTTGCTTAATGGTGGAAAACACTGCCAGGCGAATTGGTCAAATGACCCCGTCGATAATTTCGTACATAAACACACAACATAGGGCAACAACTGAATAAAGGAAAAGACAATTGAGAACAGAATATAAGGAAATGCCAATAACCAAAGTAGAATTTTTTTGTTCTCTTTTAACGCGCATGAGTACTAATTATGTGTGGCTGCATGTATTCAATAGTATAATCGTATATAAAAGACATAGCTGCAGTCGCTTTCCTGCTCTGGTTCGCCAAGAAGGACACCCTTAAAATTACATTAGTTTAGCATTTGCCTAACTTATTTACGCGACGGACTAACTTTAAAAGAAGCCGGACTAATTTCAATAGATTAATCATGCGGTATTAATATTTCAAGTTAAACGACTGCAATTTTTACAAGAATTATATCCAATTACCTCAAAAGCACTAATTACAGCGTTTGCCAGGTTCTGTAAGTTCAAGCCCAACTATATTGCTTACCTTTTAATAAAATTATGTCAGTTAAGCATTTGACTAACTTTTTTACGAAATGGGCTAGCTTTAAAAGAAGCCGGGCTAATTTCAATAGACGCCGGGCTAATTTCAATGGAAGCCGGGCTAATTTCAATAGAGGACGGGCTAATTTCAGTGGAAGCCGGGCTAATATCAATAGATTCTTCAGGAGAGCATAATGCAATTTTTCAAGTTCAACGACTGCAAACTTTACTTGAAGTATATCTAATAACCTCAAAAAGCACGAATTATAGAACGTTTGAAATAATTGTGCAAGGTTTTGTAAGTTCAAGCCCAACTATTGCTTATCTTTTTGCTTGCCTTTTAATAAAATTATGACTTTTTTACGAAACGGGCTAACTTTAAAAGAAGCCGGGCTAATTTTAAAAGACGCCGGGCTAATTTCAATGGAAGCCGGGCTAATTTCAATAGAGGATGGGCTAATTTCAATGGAAGCCGGGCTAATTTCAATAGAGGACGGGCTAATTTCAATGGAAGCCGGGCTAATTTCAATAGAATCTTCAGGAGAGCATGATGTACTTACTCAAGTTTAACGATTGCAATTTTTTACTTGAAGTATATCTAATAACCTTTAAAGTACGAATTATAGAACGTTTGAAATAAGTGTGCAAGGTTTTGTAAATTCAGCCTAACTATTGCTTATAATTTTTATTGCCTTTATTAAAATTATTACTGTTATACGACCCCTTTTTCTTGGTTATATTCAGACTAATACAGCAGGATCGTCGGGGCTGTAGGGGTAATAGCTCAACAACAAGAATATCAATATCACTGACACCAACACTGTTTCTTTTATCACATATATATATATTTTGAATATTGTGTGCGTCTGTGCGTAGCTTTTGATAGATACAAACGCTCTGACTACAGTCAGCTCTACTCTGACACTAAGACTCTAATACACTCACTGTTTCCTGACAGTGTCATACACATTGTTTCCTGTTAATTAAATTATGCTATTGTGCATTGTTCATCAATGGTTCATTGTATGCTTCATGTGATCATCACGTGCAACACTCGTGCATATAATTCTAGTGTATTATTTCCGTGAATAACATATCTCTCTCCTTTAAGTGAAAACCTCCCGGTTTTCAAAGTTATTACAATTAAATAAGTTCAATATGATCTTGATTTCAAGGTTAGAAGTCTTTCAGTAATTGTACATTTCTTTGCATGTGCAACCTTCGTTGTATTCCACTGTTGAGAACTTTAAGTGAAACTGTATCCGTATATTGATTACAGATAAATACTCACCTAATTGCAAAGGCATGTGAAATTTGACTTGAACCAAATATTAAGGAAAAAGAACATAGTTGTGTCATGGAAGGGACAATAACAAAATAACAAAACATAACAAAACAATAACAAAACAATAACAAAACAATAACAAAACAATAACAAAACAATAACAAAGCCTATTTTACATTCTTTTTCTCATCATTCACTTTCAACTTCCCACATAGTGCGACATCTAATTATACTTCACACACAATTATAACGTGTCCGAACGAGGGGTACATGCGAGGCTAAATAGTTCACAGCCGAAATCTGGACAACACAAGCATGAGATCCTGAACATCCGGATCACAAAACAAGTCGTCCCAGAGGTTAAAAGCCTTGAGATGGTATCGTACGTTAGTTGTTGTTTTGTTCAAGGTGAATAATGTCAGTCTCGTCTACCCATGAATTATGCTCAGGGTCATACCTTCCCACTTAACTAAAAATTGTTTCTTACCCTTGCGCTTACGCTCTTTAATGATATGTTCTATATTATATGTTTCCGAATTTTCTTCTACAACTGATGTGTCTGCCGGAACAGATTGGTCGATGCTGGGCTCATGGACCGGTGTATTGTCAGCAAGCGCGTCATTAGGAAGTTCGTCTTCAGGAATGGGTGGTTCATCTGGCATTTCAATATTCGGAGGAGTCTGAGGACGCAAATCTGGAAAGTAGTAAGGCTTCATTCTATTTGCATGGACAGTAATGGAGACGAGGCGATTGTCGCAGGTTCGCAGTTTGAAGTGGACTGGTGAGCATTTTTCTATTATACGGAATGGTCCATGCCAATGATGCATAAGTTTACGTGAAAGACCTTTCTTTGTCTTTGGTGTATATACCCATACTCGATCTCCAAGCATAAATTTGGGTTCACAGGCTGAACGATCATAACGGGCTTTCATGGATTGCTGTGTTCGCTGGATGTTTGCGCGAGCAATAGCATGAGCTTCTTCTATTGTTTGGACTATTCGCGCTCTGTGTTCCTTGACAGACTTTGTGACGTTGGACGGAGGAAGAAGAGAACATCGATGGGGAGTCTTGGCTCACGTCCGTAAAGTAAATAGAATGGACTATCTCCGGTGGTCTCCTGGGGACTAACGCGAAAACCAAAGAGTATCGCTGGTAGATGGGTGTCCCAGTCTTTTTGATCACGACTGACATACATTGACACGGATTGACAAAGTGTGTGGTTGAATCTTTCAACAAGACCGTCTGTTTGTGGATGGTACGCTGTTGTATTCACTTTCTTGGTGTTGAGAAGTTCACAGACCGATCTAACAAGTGATGATAGGAAGTTAGTTCCGCGATCCGATAATAAAGTTCGAGGAGCGCCATGTGTAAGGACGATATGGTTAACTAGGAGACGAGCAATGGTTGGAGCATCTGTAGTAGGGACGGCGAACACCTCTGGCCAGCGAGTGAGGTATTCTGTAAAGACAACGACATAACGATTTCCAGCAGTTGAAAGTGGGAATGGTCCCAAACAGTCAACTGCAAGGCGATCGAAAGCGTTTTCTACTGGAATTGGCAAAAGAGGAGCGTTATGTCTGTTACGAGGCGATTTCTTCATTGCACAATCGACGCAGCTTTTGCACCATCTGTCAATATCCCGGAACATATTACGCCAGTAGTAACGAGTGCGGATTTTCCCATATGTCTTCTGCGTACCAAGATGACCAGCGGTAACATCATCGTGAGCCCAAACCAAAACTTCATGCTTTAAAGCGTCTGGAATTGCAAGTTGTGAGCATACGTCACGTTGGGTACGTTTACTGGGTGTCCAAAGGGAGAATAGCAAACCATTGTCATCCAGGTAAAATTTGTCGCCATAAAGTACGAACGAGCGAGCTCTTTTGTTGTTAGATGGAAGTGCATCGGTTTCCAATAAGGTGATGAGATCGGAGAGTTCAGCATCTTGGCGTTGTAATTCACGAATACGGTCAATTGGTACCCCAGGTAAATCGTATGCGCCAATGTGAAGCTGTGTACCATACGAACGGCGAGAAAGAGCATCTGCATCTAAGTTCTGCTTGCCGGATCTATATTCGATGGTGAAATCGTATTGTTGTAGCAATAAAGCCCAACGCGCAAGTCGACCACTTGGATCCT